CCGGCGGGGACGGCCGTCCCGCTGGAGCCCACACTCGCGCTCGGCCGTCTTGACAGGCGGTCCTTGCTGGAGACGTGTCTGGTTACGGCTGTAAGAGGGTCAGAGATGCTTCCCGATTCCTTGGCCCTCTTGGGTAGCGGGGAAAAACCCCCAGTTTGTCTTTAATTGGGTGTTGAAAACCTTGCTCGGCCAAAGCAGTTCTTCTGCCCATTGGACAAGTTTCGTAATAATTGCATTCGGAGCGCGTAAACCCTGCTTAAACCTTTCTTTTACGAATAGCAACGTATGTTGCTGCTGATTGATCCCTAATCCTGGAAGTCACAGATTGAGGACCGGTCAGGGCATGTTTAGCATTTACGTTACTTAGGACTTTCCATAATCGTAACGAAATATAAGTGATGGCAATTAACTGACCTTGTTAATGGATGGTTTTCATTCTAAACAGAAGTGCGCTTTGAAGGAAATTTGGAAATTAAAGGTTGAAAGAAAGGAGATTGAAAAGAAGCAACCAATGTCCTGCTACCAGCTAGTGATGCTAACAATTTGGTGTATTTCCTTCCACTTATATTTATTTACCTTGTTGAATCAGGCCGTGTAATTTTCTTTTTCAAGTGCAAGATATTATATTAGTGAAATTTAGGCCAGGTGCAGTGGCTCATGCCTATAATCCCAGCACTTTGGGAGGCCGAGGTGAGAGGATTGCCTGAGCTGAGCCCACAGGTTTGAGACCAGCCTGGGCAACTTGGTGAGACCTCACTTCAACAATAAATCAAAAAATTCTCTGGGCGTGGTGGCATGTGCCTGTAGTTGCAGCTACTTGGAAGACTGAGGCGGAAGGATCACCTGAGCCTAGCAGGTCGAGGCTGCAGTGGCCATGAGTGTGCCACTGTACTTCAGCCTGTGTAACACAGTGAGACTCCAACTCAAAAAAAAAAGAATTCAAGTTGCACATTGGAAAAGTTTAATAAATAATTAAATTTCCTCTCACTTCACTCAGAAAGGTGTTACTCCAAACAAAATTAAGCTACTCTGATGTGTAATTCCTTTAAAAGATAAAAACTTTTGACTTAAAAGCTAGTAGGGCAGGTAGTGATCATTAAGTTGCAGCTTTTCCAATAGCCTCTTATATTGTTGATTTATATTGTTGACTTGTCAGTTTTTAAATTTGCTCTACCAAGATACTTTTTTTTTTAGTTGAAGTCTCACTCTGTTGCCCAGACTGGAGTGCAGTGGCACGCTTACAGCCACCACACCCTCTACTTGCTGGGCTCAGGCAATCCTTCCGCTTCAGCCTTCCAAGTAGCTGGATCTACAGGCGTGCGCCCCTACCCCCCTCTCACCCCCTCCCCCGCTAATTTTTTGATTTACTGTAGAGATGATCAAGTTACCCAGGCTGTTCTCGAACTCCTCAGGCAATCCTCTTGCCTTCACCTCCCAAAGTGCTGGGATTAGAGTCTTGAACCACTGCGCATGGCCTGAGACCTTTTATATTCATGATAAAAGTTTAAAAGTTACAATCGGTTTTATTCTCAAGCAGCTGACCTCAGTGATACAGTGACTAGAGAGAACCCAGTGTCAAATCAGGCATTTTGTATTTGTAGACTTATCCATAGCTTCATTTTGGTGGTAGTGGTCGATTTTACGTGTTCCTTTGTGTATGCCAAAAGGTAGAGCAGAATTTTTACAGTACCCTACTCTACTCCACAGAGAAAATGCACTTTTTTTTTTTAATGGAGCAGGTGGGACAGTGGTTAGAGTGGGGAAACAATATCATAATGACTTAATTTAGTCCTGGCCATTATGTCCTGGCTTTCTCCCAGAATATCAATTTATATTAAGTTGCTATGAGCACATTTTTTAATTGTACTTTATGAAAAAGTTTTCACTTCCTTCACCATTTAAAATGAATTAGACTAGGATGTTTCTATAAAACACTTTAAATGTATTTGCTATTAAATTTTTATTTCTTTGTAGATCCAGAAAAACCCAGAAGTGATGATGCAGTGGAAGTACAAGTAAATGGGAATCTTATCAGAGAACCTGACCATATGGAATTGGAAGAAGATAGGGCTGGACAGCTTAACATGCGTGGAGTTTTTCTACATGTCCTTGGAGATGCCTTGGGATCAGTGATTGTAGTAGTAAATGCCTTGGTCTTTTACTTTTCCTGGAAAGGTTGTCCTGAAGGGAATTTTTGTGTGAACCCATGTTTCCCTGACCCCTGCAAAGCATTTGTAGAAATAATTAATAGTACTCATGCATCGGTTTATGAAGCTGGTCCTTGCTGGGTGCTATATTTAGATCCAACTCTTTGTATTGTAATGGTTTGTATACTTCTTTACACAACTTATCCATTACTTAAGGAATCTGCTCTTATCCTTCTACAAACTGTTCCTAAACAAATTGATATCAGACATTTGATAAAAGAACTTCGAAATGTTGAAGGAGTTGAGGAAGTTCACGAGTTACATGTTTGGCAGCTTGCTGGAAGCAGAATCATTGCCACTGCTCACATAAAATGTGAAGATCCAACATCATACATGCAGGTGGCTAAAACCATTAAAGACGTTTTCCATAATCACGGAATTCACGCTACTACCATTCAGCCTGAATTTGCTAGTGTAGGCTCTAAATCAAGTGTAGTCCCCTGTGAACTTGCCTGCAGAACTCAGTGTGCTTTGAAACAATGTTGTGGGACACTGCCACAAGCCCATTCTGGAAAGGATGCAGAAAAGACCCCAACAGTTAGTATTTCTTGTTTAGAACTTAGTAACAGTCTAGAGAAGAAGACCAAAAGGACTAAAGCTGAAAGCATCCCTGCTGTTGTGATAGAAGTTAAAAACATGCCAAATAAACAACCCGAATCATCTTTGTGAGTCTTGAAAAAGATGTGATATTTGACTTTTGCTTTAAACTGCAAGAGGAAAAAGACTCCATTGAAATTGTTTGCCAAGTAGTGTAATTGAAGTCCTTGTCTGGTCACACAGTTTAATTCTATTTTTGTAAGAACATAATGGGGACTACATAACAGAATTCTTTATTATAACCTGGTGATTATTAGTGCAGAGTACAGCTATCCTGTAACACCTTTGGAAAACCAGTTTTAACACTATGTTACATTTTTGTTTAAGTATAAGAACCTTATATATAACGACATTTGATTTCCGGTTTTCCCATGATAAAAATTAGGGGGATAAATAAAATTGTTACTGGAATTTTTCTGCTTTTCTTTCCCCCCGGTATTATACTTTATTAGAACTATAATTACTAAAACTTTAAAATCATCAAAAATTTGTTTCCTTTGACATTTTAGGTAATATTTACTTAGCCTTTAAGATCATTACATAGCATGATGGCAGCATATTTTAAGAGTGACTCATGACTATTAGTAAGAAATAAGATCAGTTACTATCCTGTATTCTATATTGCTGAGTATTAATCTAATGAACAGTGAGATAGATAATAAATTGAACTACAGTTTACAAACAATAGGGCATATGAGGGGAGAGTAGGAGCAGGGAAGAAAGTTTACCAAACTAAATATTTAGATCATTGTATGTTAATATTCAGACTACATTTCTAAATTATTTTGAGAATTTCAACTTGTTTTCTACCGAAGTTAATCTAAAACATGGACTTGTTCACCAGCATTACTTTCTTGGAAAGATTGGTATAGAAACATTGAGCTGAAAGTTTACTCACAAAATAAATATTTTTAAGAATGTTAACATCTAATATTACATGCTAAATGCAAGCTATTAACGTAATCCTTTAAACTGGATATTTGTAAAAAAACTTTCAAAGTCATTTCATGATGATCAGTCATGAATGGACTTAAACGGAGCTTTTTGAGCACAACCAGCAATGCTCGTGCTTTGCCAAGAGCCAGACTTAAGGAAAACAATCAGAAAGTTAATGCAATTTGTGTATTAAATTCTTAGAAAAGAAAATTAAGTTTCTATAAGTCATCTGTCTTGACATTGCTCAGATCTTCCAATAGTGGCTTATTTTGTAAGATGCCACGATATCTACACAGGAAAATATTCTTGGCTATTTCATTATTGCTGTAGATTTCAGATTCAACGCAAATATTATTTAAGGGTATTTAAGTTATATTTTTCTTGATAGAGGGGGGTATGCTTTGTGATGAAAATGTAGGTTTTTGTCTTCAAGGATTAATATTAATATCAGTTATCATGTATAGCTCTATTTTTCTAGAAACAAGTATTCTGACTACTTCAGTAACTTTTATAGCTGACTACTTTTGGGATGGCTACCTTTGAAACAAATTCATTGCTTAGTGGGTGATAAGAGGAAAGTGTTAGAATTTGACAGTTAATTTTTAAAGGGATAATCTTTTGTGGTGTTTTTTCCTAGTATAAGCCTGTTGCTGGCAATGGGCCTGTTTGAGAACAGCTGATTTTTTTTCCAATGAGAATGTGGTAATTTTAGGAACATAGTTTGTAAGTTCACATTTACTATAATGGGCCAAAACCATAACCTGCCAGTTTGCAATACATCTTGGTCTTTTAATACTCTTATCTGATATTGTGTGATTCCGTTCTTAAACTGATAGTTAACGTGAATTTTGCAGAAAGATTTGAGTTTGCTTTTTTTAAAAAACATGTAATTGGGGGAATCTCATCTGGGTGAACAAGAGAGCTGCGAACGAATTGTACTGTATCATGTACATTCCTAATTTAACACCTTACAGGACATTTTATTAAGATCTCAAAACAATTTGTTATATAAACATTTCAGGAATGATACCAGGATTACTGGTAAAATATATTACGTTCAGTGGGGTTTTCTTTACAAATGCTCTATTTGAGGTCTGTGTCTTAAAGGTGGTATAACACCTAAGTATAAGACATCAAGTGAATGAGGATTTTTTTTTTAATGGTATATTAGCATGGGACAAGGGCTATGTAATTTTTTTTTCTAAAGTGCTTTGAAGAGAACAGCCTTTAGGTTTTAGTGATTCCACTTTTCATAATTTTTAAGTAACTTATATGTAACAAAGTGGTACTATAGGATTTTCTTTTTTCAAAGGACTTTGTCATGGCAAAATCAGTGGGCACGGGCTCACCTTTTGAGTTTTAGCAAAGAATTATTTATTTCTTTACAATGCACTTTCTAACCCATTTTAGCTATATTAGCATTATCTTTTTTTTAGAAAAAAGACATGCTTTATATTTAAATATTGTGGGATTTAAGAGTCTTTTTCAAAATAGTTATTCTTTTCTGAAAGAAAATGAGGGAAATAACCTGAATTATTAGGAAACTTAAACCCAATATTTAAATATACTGTTTTATAACACTGCATCAGTTTTAGGAGTTGCATCTCTCCTGCTGGCTCTTTTATATTTGAGCAAGATCAGTGTAGAATATGTGTTTAGAAACTTGTCTGTTGTCTCAGTTTAGTGAAAAGGGGGTGGTGCTGCATGTGCCTGAATTAAAACCAACAAATTTTTCCAAGCCAAATGCAGCCTTAGTGATGAGAGATTTAATTCTCCATTGGCACCTTTTAGCTTGTATGATTGCTTAGTTTTTTTTTTTTTTCCTGAAAAGTATCTGCATTGTGAAAGCATAGATTAGAACCTAAAAAGCCAAATTCTCAAAGACTTTCCTGTATGTGTTTTAATGTTTTAGAGAACATATTGAATAACTAAGGTGTGTAATTTGAATAGGAAAAATTTCCATCAAGTGCACCTTGGAAAAATCACAGTGGATAGAAGGCTGTGTTAATACGTTTGTGTCTTGTTAGCATTTTTGAAAGTTGTGAGGAAAAAGACTGATGGAACCTATTGTGAAATATTTAGTAGGTTAACTGGTATTGAGTTGAAGATTTTTACTGTTTATATGCAGAAGTTATTTGAATGATAAAAATGTCATTAGCCTGCTGTCTTAAGATGTTCACACAAATATGGAGAGTAATTCTACAATATAAAAATATTTATTTTAGTACTGAGTTTCAGTTAAGTCATAAAACAGTGTTAAAACTCTTGGGAATGCGGGGGGGGTTTTGGTTTTTAAATTGAAGCTGTGTCATACAGTGTTTCACCGTCTCTGAAATGAGAATTGTAATAGCACTATTTTGATGTAGCTCTACCAATATTATGTGATGATGCTATTTTGTTTTACTAACAAGCTCTGGAATACTTAGCAGTCATTTTCACTGGCACAAGAGCCTTTTGTATGTTATTCAATTTAAACTTTTAAACCAAAAATTTTATGGTCCAGTGTCTTTGGCAAAAAGATGCTGGAGGGAATGTAACATACAGTTAATGTGTGGTTATATATTAAAAAAGACACAAATTGCCATGTTATGGTTCTGCCTTGAAACAGCACAATGAAGTGTATCAGTGTATTCTGTGATTCTTTATGAAACTTCCATATTGTGTTGTTTTGTGTCTGCTGTCGCTTGTCCTTTGGGCCAGATGTGGCGCAGTTAAATGCAGTTATCATCTTGTTAAATGCAGATGCAATGTCTTTAGTGCTGCAGCGTTTCCTAACTTTTTGTATGTTTATGACTGTGTGTTATTTTCCAAAGCTGTTCCTACCTCACCATGAGGCTTTATGGATTGTTATGTATTATAAATGTTCTATATGAGACAGACTACTGTGTTTCTTCTCATTTGTTAAAAGTTAAGTAGAAAAATAAACTAATTTTAATATCTATTTCGTTTGTGCATATGGCCTCCCCTCCTGTATTAGGCTGGGTCATATAGAGAGTTGGATTTCAGGTATTGAAAAAGAAATTGAAGTTTAAAACATGTTGCTAGTGTACAAAATGACTAGGTTACAAGATAGGTGTGGAAGAAGACAAATGTGGACAAAAATTGCCATAGAAATTGAAACATTGAAAAGGCTTGATGTGAAGTACTCAACAGCTGTGAAATTTTGGAGGTTATAAACATTGATAGTTATGGTTAACCTGTTTCTTTTGGTACATACTTTTTGTTTGTAAGCATAGTTATAATAAGGATTATTAAATGTTTTACATCTATAACTCTTCTGCAATGATTAACCTAAGAGTTAGTACATTTTTGTGGTTATAAGAGCCCCAGACTATCACAAATGTCTTAGAATAAAATCTCTTTAAGTAATGTATGTTTCTGGCTGGGAGACAAAAGTTGGAAAAAAAATCAATTGACAAGTGACAGTAGATAAATAATGAAGGGAACTAATAAGTACAGTAGATATTCCAAAGAAAGGGTTGAAAATTTTTGGAAAGGATTGTGCATGTTAAAGTGGAAAGGAAACGAGGGAGTACAGAACAGTATAAAGAACTGGAGTTGGAGAGACAAATTGTCAAAGAAGTGCCATGTCAACAAGTCTGAATTTGGTTTTAGAGGACACTCAACTTTTTAGTGGATAAATGAGAAAGTGGTGTTATACAGAGTAGGTTTGGAATGGGATGTTGGCCACGTGGGACAGAAAGACAACCAGTTTACCAGATACTTCAATACTAAGAGCCTGAACTAGTTCCCAAATACACGTGTCCACATGTATGGGTACCACATTTCTTTTTTTCTTTTTTTTGAGTTGGAGTCTCTGTCGACCAGACTGGAGTGCAGTGACACACTCACGGCCACCCCAGTGTTGACCTGCTGGGCTCAGGCGATCCTTCTGCCTCAGCCTTCCAAATAGCTGGAACTACAGGCATGCATTACCACGCCGAGCTAATTTTTCATTTATTGTAGAGATGAAGTCTCGCCAAGTTGCCCAGGCTGGTCTTGAACCTGCGGGCTGAACCTGCGGGCTCAGGCAATCCACTTGCCTCGGCCTCCCAAATTGCTGGGATTACAGGCTGAGCCACTGAGCCTGGCCTGTGTGCCACATTTCAATTGATTTCACACACGTTCTTTTTTTCATATTTTAACATTTCTGAGATTGGAATGCATAGCTACAATCAACGATGTCTGACAATTGTGTTGAACAATTTTTTTCTTAATTTGCTTGTGTCTATTCTTCAGGGTTCAGAAAAGAATTGCCTTTCCTGGCAATATATTCTTTCAAAAAGTATTTGCCAACATTCTCTAAAACAACTTTGTGTACTATACATTGCACATCTGAATGAGAGCTGTTCCTTTTTAATTAGATAAAAAATAGTCTAAGAAAGCCAAGTAACAACATTGTATTTAAGGAAATTTTGCAGATATTTGTGAGCCCTCAGAATTGACCATTATTTTTGACCCCCGTGGTAGCCTATACAGCCCTTTTTTTTCTTTTCAGTTGAAGTCTCACTCTTATTCAGGCTGTAGTGTGACGGGACCATCATAGCTCACTGCAGCCTTGAACTCCTGGATTCTTCCACCTCAGCCTCCTGAGTAGCTGGGACTACAGGAATGCACCACCATACCTGGCTTATTTTTTTATTTGTTAGAGACAAGGTTCTTGCTGGTATCAAACTCCTGGGCTCAAGAGACCTCCCTGTCTGGCAGTGGTGGCTCACAGTTAATAATCCCAGCACTTTGGGGGTCCAAAGTAGGAGAATCTCTGGAACCCAGGAGTTCAAGACCAGCCTAGGCAACATAATGAGTTCATGATGGTGCACACCTGTAGTCCAAGCTACTCAGGAGTCTGAGGTGGAAGGATTGCTTGAGTCCAGGAGGTCAAGGCTGTGGTAAACCGTTTTCATGCCACTGCACTCCAACCTGGGATATAGGTATGAGCCGCCTTGCCCCACCAGGAAAATTATTTTTAAAGCATATGATATTTAATTTTTAAAAAGTAGTCAGGAATCAGAACTTTCTTACCTAAATTAGACTTTCTTAAGTCATGGTTTGATACCATTTGTTTTGAATTACATGGGGAAGAGACATCACAATTATTTTTTAGGATGTAAGGCCTCTCTTGGTTTCAAGCCAGCTTGTGGATAGAGACAGTCTTTACAAACTAGCAATGTTTTCACCTAAACTGTCATACAGTAGTATTGTTTGATCTGGCAAACAGCTTCTACAGGAGCAGGAAAAGTGTGGCTTAAATATCCTTGGCTTATGCTGAAAACAATGGACTTTGGGGGACATGAAAAGCAGAGACGATTGAGGTAAATATGGATGAGGAGACCCAGGGTGAAGACCATCTGCTTTTCAACAGGTGCTATGCGCATTTGAGTGAGACCATCACCATGCAGAAATGCCCTGCACAGTGAGGAAATTTAACAACTCTGGTCTCCTTCCACACGAATGTCTGTAGCTACCTCCCTCACTTTCTCATGATCAAGACACCCCACTTGTTTCAAATGTCCCCTGGGGTGGCAGTATCGACCTATTAGAAACTATAGAAGACCAGCCCAGTAGGTCCTCTTCCAGGCTCTCCCACAGGAACCAAATTCATCTAGTCTCCTCCTCTTACCTAGATCCTTCATGGTGCTTTTTGTTTGTTTGTTTGATTTGGGGTCTCACTCTGTCACCCAGGCTAGAGTGCATGATCATCGCTTACCACAGCCATGGTCTTAGGCGGTCCTTCCACCTCAGCCTTCTGAGTAGTTGGGACTACAGGCACACGTCATTATGCCTGCTAACTTTTTGATTTTTTGTAGAGACAGGGTCTTACTGTGTTGCCTAGGCTGTTCTCCTGTCTAAGCAGGACCTGTGATCTTAGCTATGACGTTAACTCTATAGTGTATCTAGCATAGTGTCTGATGGATGGGAACACTACATGTTTAGCAATGTAGCAAAATGGTTAGTCCTGGAGTCAGACCGCCCAAGTTCAAATTCCAGACTCATTGACTTTGACCTTGGGTAAGGTACTTAAACTTTCTGCTGTCATTTCTTTATCCTCCTGCCTCAGCCTCCCAAAGTACTGGGATTACAGGCATGAGTCACCATGCCCAGCTGTCCTTTATGTTTTATATGAACTTCAATTTTATCCTTAAGCCCAGGGACCATGATTCCATTGCCTTGATGGTCAAATTGAAAGTCTGAAGCTAGCCCCGGGCGGGGTGGCTCATGCCTGTAATCCCAGCACTTTGGGAGACTGAGGTGAGAGGATTGCCTGAGCCCATGGGTTCAAGACCAGCCTGGGCAACTTGGTGAGACCCCCATCTCTACAATAAGCCAAAAAATTAGGCGGTCATGGTGGCGTGTGTCTGTGGTTCCATCGACTTGAAAGGCTGAGGCAGAAGGATCGCCTGAGCCCAGTAGGTTGAGGCTGCAGTGGCCAGAAAGGTGCCATTGCCCCTCTATCCTGGGTGACAGAGTGAGACTCCTACTCAAAAAAAAAAGTCTGAAGCTTTGTTTTTTGAGACATAATCCTTGATGCAGTGATTGTTTCAGGACAAGGTAAGTAGCCATGAGCTCCTCTGATCTAATAAGAAGATTGCTCTGCCCAAGAAAACAGTATAGATGTAGCCATCTGAATTGGTCATGAAAACCCTTGGCTAGCACTATTGAAGTATAAAATAAAAATAGGTGTCTGGCAATATAAAAGGTTCAAAACCAGTACCTTTTATTAAAATAAATATTTAGCAGGGCATGGTGGCTCATGCCTGTAATCCCAGCGCTTTGGGAGGCAGAAGTGAGAGGATTTTCTGAGCCCAGAGGTGAGACCTCATCTCTACAGTAAATAAAAAAATTAGCATAGTGTGGTGGCACACACCTGTAGTTCCAGCTACTTGGAAGGCTGAGACGGAAGGATTGTCGTATACCCAGCAGGTTGAGGCTGTGGTAGCTGTGGGTGTGCTACTGCACTCTAGCCTGGGCAACAGAGTGAGATTTATCAAATATTTATTTATCAAAAAATAAAATAAATTTAAATATTTACAGCAAAACTTAGCAAGGCCATGCATAGTGGTTTTATGCCTGTAATCCCAACACTTTGGGAAACTGAGGCAGGAGGACAGATTGCTTGAAGCCAACAGTTCAAGACCAGCCTAGACAACATAGTGCAACCCTATCTTTACAAGTTTTTTTGGTAGAATATTAGCCCATAGTGATGTACACCTGTAGTCCCAGTTACTCAGGAGGTTGAGGCTGGAGGATCCCCTTGAGCCTAGGACTTTGAAGCTACAGTGAGCCATGATCATATCAATGCACTCCAACCTGGAAAAGGTCAAGGACGGTATTACACAAAGTTTACTTGGATTGTTTAAAGCCTGGAACAAGCGTGGCCTTTAATGACATCTGCCTTGACCAGGCATGGTGCCTCACACCTGTAATCCCAGGAATTTGGGAGGCCAAGGCAGGAGGATTGCTTGAGTCCAGGAGTTCAGGACCAGCCTGGGCAACATGGCCAGACTTTTTCTCTACAAAAAAAGTTAAAACAAAAATTAGCCGAGTGTGGAGGTGCACACCTGAAGTCCCAGTTACTCAGGAGACTGAGGTGGAAGAATTGCCTGTGACTGGTAGGTCAAGTCTGCAGTGAGCTGTGATCATGCCATTGCATTCCAGCCTGGGTGATAGAGTGAGACTCTAACTTTAAAAAGAAGAAGAAAATAAAAGACACCTGTCCTGGTCTCTTGCATTAGGTTTTAGATGCATCTGGAAGGTGATGGTGATAAGGCAGTATTTATAGATAAAGTTATTGGCTGGGCTTGGTGGCTCAGCCTGTAATCCCAACACTTTGGGAGGCTGAGGTGAGTGGACTGCCTGAACCCGTGGGTTCAAGACCAGCCCAGGCAACTTGGTGAGACCTTGTCTCTACAATAAATCAAAAATTAGCCAGGCATGGTATCA